CAGAGAAGAGAATACTGACCTTTTAAAAGACTGAATGCAGGGTTACCAGGAGGTCAATATTCTCAAGAATAGTCTGCAAGGGAAAAAAAACCTGGCCTCTGAGCTTCAGCATTAGTCAGATTCTTGAAAGGGCATACATTGGATGTTCTTGCTTTGACAGCATACACCTGGAATACTGCAACCAACTTTGGTCACCATATCACAAAAAAGAAGTTGAGAGTCTGGAAAACATTCAGAGAAGAGCAACTAAGATGATCAAAGGCCTGGAGACTAAAACATACGAAGAACGGCTGCAGGACTTTTCTAAAGAAAAGAAGAAATAGGGGAGACATGTTAACAGTACTCCAGTATTTGAGGGGCTGCCACAAAGAAAAGGGGGTCACGTTATTCACCAAAGCACCAGAGGGCAGGACAAGAAACAATGGTTGGAAACTGATCAAAGAGAGAAGCAACCTGGAATTAAGGAGAAACTTCCTGACAGTGAGGACAATTAACCAGTGAAAATGCTTGCCTCCAGAAATCGTGGGTGCTCCATCACTGGAGATTTTTAAGAAGAGACTAGACAGTCATTAGTCTGAGATGGTATAGGTTCTCCTGTTTGAGCAGGGGGCTGGACTAGAAGACCTCCAAGGTTCTATTCTATTCTACTCTACTCTACTCTACTCTACTCTACTCTACTCTACTCTACTCTACTCTACTCTACTCTATTCTATTCTATTCTATTCTATTCTATTATTTTCTATAGAAGGACCATGGGCATTTGGTGTCTACTACAGACTTTGACATTTCCCCTTCAGAATGAAGAAAATGCTATGGTTTAAAGCAGTGTACCTCAACCTTGGTGACTTTACTGTAAAGCTGTATGGATTTCAAGTCCTGGAATTCCCCAGCCAACCAATAAGCCAGTTCCTTTATCCCTTCTACTCCACCCAGCAAGCTTTGAACATAGTCCTCCACCCCACTGAAGCTTTACAAAGTTACAGCAGACCCATTTTTATTCTCCACAGCCTGTTATGGCTCATAATTAAACTTTATTCCTGTTGATTTTAAGGCTTTTGGTTTTAGTTTCATTGAGGTTTTATCTGATTTATATGATGTGAATTTATTATGTGGCACTGATGTGATGTGATATGATGTGAATTTATTATGACTAGCACTGATGATGTTACCTAGTTAGGTTAATGAAAAGTTTGCAAGAAAACAAGCAAGCTCAGAGAGCACCAAAAACACCTCGTTATGTGGCTCTCCTTAGGGCTACATAGTGAGATATAAATCTTCTAGAATATCTGAACCAGAACTCCCAGAATCCTTGCTATTCATCACAATGATTGGGATGATGGCAGTTATAGCTGAAAAAAAATGATGATTATTTACCCTGCTAAAGGGGGATAAATAAGCATCCAGATTTTTGGAACTACATTTCTCATCATTCCAACCATTGTGATAAATAGTACAGGTTCTCAGAGTTGTAGTTAAGACTGTCACCCAACTATACCCCAAACAGGGATTACAGGATCATAAAAAGGGAGATTTTTGAAATTTTTTATCCCTGCTGAAGTCATTCAAACTGCTGTCCTGGGATAGCATAAGGATATTACTGTCTCTGCTCATTCTAATGCTTAAGGTGGAAAGTGTAGATTGATGGTCTTAGCCTTACGTTCATTCAAACCTCATAACTGTCTCTACATGCACAACAGCACTGATGCCTTCAAGAATATGACTGGAATCAGTAGCTCAATCTTCAGTTCAGTAGTGAATTCCCTGGCCAGGCCATTTCAGCCAGTCCTTCCTTCTTCTAGTAAGCTGTCACATGAAAAGGCTACATTGGTGAATTTCAGTCATTATCCAATGCTCAAGAAATGATTTCGGTCATGATCCCTGAAAGTATAAATCACAGGTTCTTTCTCAAGATATATCAACTATATCTGATCTACACACATCCTTTCTCTCCACAAAGCAGATCATGACTCATTTTTACTTAAGCAAACACCTGCATCCTTTTTGTCTGCACAACACTGAAATGACAGTCATTCTGTAAAAGCCCTGGGAATTTCTCTCTTCTGCTGATCCGTCTGGGCTGCCTCCCACCTGCTCTTTTGGGAAGGCCAACATTCCTTCAGAAACTCAGGAGGAGGGTGTTGGTGCATGTTGCTCAATGAGGATTAAAACCAACGTCTTTTGCCCCCAAATAAAAATGCTTTATTTGTCTCGGATCTCTGGAGGATTACTGTGTTACTCGCTTAATTAAGAAAAAAACGGTCTTTTGCAGTGTTCTTTTATTTTTCCATTTAGCCTTGTCTTCTGCTTTTCTCTTTGATCTTCTCTGCTCGTGTACTCTCAATCAGTACCTGTTTCCTAGAAAATCAGCTAATACAGATCACTTCATTAGACTCCACGATAGCACTCTGCTTGAGAAATGACATTACATTCCACCCTGCACTTTTTGCATGTGTGTGTTTGCACACTTTCTTTGTTTCTACCTCTTTAATTCAGTCTCTTGCAACACAGGGCTCCCATTCTGGGAGGGTGCATCCTTTGCAATGTCTGTTTGTTTTGGCTGTGAAGCCTAATGCCTCTAGCCTGGATGTTAGTCAAACTGACCTTTCCTGTTTTCTGAGTCAATGATCTTAGATCCCCAAGTCAGGCACAAGATGTTGGGAATTAACCAGCATCTACGGACTGACAAGAAAGAATTTGGGCAAGGGCTAGTTAAGACTAGTTCTTAATTGAAAGAAGGTTCCGTGGTATTAAACTTACTGGTGTGACTCTCGATCACATATGCATTCAATGGGCTCATCTAACCACAGCAAAACTGACATCCTGGCCACAATCAGGGGCAACATTAAGCCAGTTAAATCAAAGCACTCAGACAGTAGTACTGTGCCCTATGCCTACCAAAAATGTGATGCAACATGCACACCGAAACATCTTTGCAGATTAGGCAAAGGGAATAGCTGCATGATAATCGGATCAGGCCCCACTATCAGCCAAAGTGAGGCACTTGCCTGGTGGTAGATAGTAAAAGATGGGAAACAGCTGCAAGGTACTGAAGAAGGGAGCTGATTGTCATATAGCCTGGCCCAATAGTGGGATTCAAATATATGAACAACCGGTTCTCTGTGTTGATGCCGCTTCTGGAAATCCATTCTGGGGCTGGACAACAAAAAATTAGCTACCGGTTCTGCCGAAGTGGTGCGAACCGGCTGAATCCCACCACTGTCCCTGTTGTCTTTATATCCTTAAGAAATCTGCTGTCTTCCATGCATGGGAAAATGCTACCTTCCTGTCATTTTAGCTGCCATTCTGTTCAGTGGGGTGGGGGTTCTGGCTTTTCACTTCTAGCAGAAGATCATCAGCCATCCTGCTTTCCATAACTGCTCTGCTTTTCCTTTTCTTAATACCAGGTTTCTAATGAATGCAGAGAAGCTAAGATAGAATTGCTTCCATTAGCCTTTGTTTAAGGAATATCATCTGTAACCTAATATTTTGATCCCATTTGCAGGCTCATTCCTAACTCCTTTCTCGTTGGAGGAGTCCTTTCCCACAGATGAGCTGCAGTGATTGTGTGTGTGTGTGTGTGTGTGTGTGTGTGTGTGTGTGTATACACAGGGAGAGTAGACACACAAAACTATGATCTTGGACAGTTACTTATTAAAAGCCTTGCTACAGACTTCCTTTTATCCAGATGTTTTTAGGAGATCTGAGGAGCCAACTGAACTGTAAAACCAGCCTTCTAATTTTTATTTTATTAGTGCCAAAGAGGTTTCTTTGCCTCGTGGAGGATTACAAGCCTCCTTGCCTAACAATCTTGGATGCAGGGGTGGGACCTGGTAGAATCACGGGACACAGTGTAACTGTGGTACAATATAAGGAAACATCATACTGAATGTTTTGGGTTCCTCTGCTCCTGAAACAGAGACTGAGAAAGTCCAAGGGTAATAAGTCCGCTTAGTAAACATGTTTCATGTGTCAAGGAGAGGCTGACATGAGACTTAACAACCCTGCAAATAAATATTACAAATATTACAGATATATTTGATTCCTTGTAGCCCTCTGTCCCAAAACACCTCTACAAATTTGCTTTGGAACTATATTTTGTATATATTCCTCTGGAAAACCTAATGCCAAAATGCCACAGCAGGTGGCAGCCTTTGGTTGACTTTGGCACAACTTTAAAAAAAAACCTAATCAAAGTCATAGCAAATCTGCCCCTGAATGGGACACCATCAGGAGATCCTGGTTGTTATACTGTTGCCATGAAAACTTTGTGGACATGCCCACCTCTGCTGTGAAATAAACTTCCATAATGAGGACCATCACCATCTCCCAACCCATGAAGGGAAGGTGTTTAGCTGCTGTCCCCATTCTTAAGTTATCCTTCCACTGGACTTACAGAACACTGTTGCATTGATGCTTAGCCTTGAACCCCTTCTCCAACATCAGCCCCCTCAAAGGTCATTCAATCTGCTCCCCATCATTTACACCCTACCCACCACCCAACCTACTCCACTCTTTGCTGCTGCCAAATGCCAGGCTATAATTATGGGCCACTTGCTGCTCAAATCCACCAGTCACCGAAGGCATTATCAAAGACCCTGTTTTCCTTCAGGTCCATCCAGAGCAACGTTTGACACTGCCAGGCAAATTCTGAGGGCAAAATAATAAGCTGTTCTCAAGGAATGTCATCATGAACCTGTCATAGCAAGAAAAGAGCCAAATTCTTCCTTTGTTTCCAATTTGTGCTCTTACACCCCCCCTCCTTCCCCCCCTTTCTCTTCTAAAAAATAAAGGCAATACAATAGATCCTTTCAGGCTCTGCCAAGCTGCTTCTCAACTCGTCTCAGATAAGCACTGGCAGGAAAGGTGACTGTCATCAATATTTTGGTGAATGTTAACTACCTGGGGACAGCTTTGTGAGGGAATAATCCCAAGTAGTTTCGAAGCATGTTTTAAAACACAGCATGCAGGAACGCCTCCACCAGACCCTTCTTGTCAAACAAGCATTTAGGCAGCCCAGCTTCCTAATCACAAGAGCAAAGCCGATAGTCCTCCTTGTCAAGGTAGGTTTTTCCCCCATCCCGGGTTCAATTTCTATCCCTTTTTCATTCCTTCATTCAGAAAGATCTTTCATCTAAAAATGTCTTGAGGGTGGCAGCACATTTTTCCCCTTAATATGTTCCTCTGGGACCGTACGGTAAAAATCTTGTTGGGAAATTTGTGTAGATCTAGAACGGTTATGTGTTGGAGCTCTCAATATGAAAGCTGCCAGTCCTTGAAATCCCAATTCAGCTCTCCAACCTACAAATTATATGGATGTTTCTAGTCAATCGCCGCTCTTCTGCAGCCCAGGACTAACAATCTGGTAATCACTGTACCATTTTGGTATTCAGCTTGCTGAAATAATATGTATGTGAATTGTTTTGAACCCTCATTAAGATTTTACCTTTTTTCTTTCTGAATTTATGCCCCCCCCCCTCTTTTAAAGATTTATATTCTCTGGTGTTATATAGCATCATATACCACATTTATATTTATAATTATCATATTTTAAGCAACTCGCAATTTTCATAACAGATAAAATGTATTTATGATATAAGAATATTCCACCTCAGAGTTATGTCTAGGACAAGTATCTGCAACACCTGACACAATAAAACCGGCTAGGAACCATGATCATGCCAAAGTATTATTTATCTGAACTTGACTGTGCAAACTTCTTAGGTAAACCCATGTTTGATTATCCTAGGATTTGGGATAGCTCCCAAGCCATAGGAATAAATGTGCATGTTTTTGCAAAAGAGACCTCCTTTGATCAAAGCTGCAATGATATCATTGCTGCTTTTGTTCCCTGCCATTATTTGGAGATATTTGCTCCTTTTGTTTGAATAATATTCTCCACCTATTAAAACATCAGATGGCATGAAGGACATAGCCGAGCAAATATATGTTGGTGAATATATATGTTTGTGTGAACTCATGTATATCGGAGATATCAGCAGCTACCATTGTAAATGCTATGAAATTGGAAAGAATAGAAATGCAGCTCAAATTTAGAGTATGGTAAATTATGAATTAGAAGGCCATTATTAATTCTAGATTCAGATCACTGCTGTCTCTACACCTTCTTCTAAAATACTGAGGGAATGTGTGACTTGGGCCCAGTCTAAGTCAAGAGAAGGAAAACTAGGATGCTCCAGATGTTTTGAGCTTTCCAACAATAGCAGTCTATATGGCTAAGGACAAGGGACTGTAACAGTCACAGCTCAATTTTTTAGAGCACACCAGGTTGTCTGCCTGCAGCACTGCCACGATTTACCCTCCACTACTGTACACTCATATTTTTATTTCCCACTTATGGGTATGGATGTGTATCCAAGCAGTCTGCAAGGGCATTGGGTTTATCATATATGCTCACAAACATCTACTGCTCTGAGGCACATGATCTATCCCAGGAGAGGCAGAATTAAAACACTTGCCATCTCACCACACAGGTGTACAGTGCACAACTGAGACTTGGTCTTTAACAAAATGAGTTCTTATATTCTCTATTGCAAACCATTCCAATCTGAGTCTATATTCTGCAACAGAGAGATAAACCCAAGTCAGTATTAAAACTAGTCTTATGCAATATCAGCATGTTTCTAAACATCACCAGAGAGTTTTGTGTATCTTTCAACCAAGACTGGTGTGGTTGCTAGGACATCAGCAAAGGGTCAAGTCTCCGTTGACATCCTCACTCAAATCCCAAGTAAGGAATCTCAACCAGTCTTTTTTTTTTTTTTGTCTAGCCTACTCTACCACTTTGTTCTGACAATAAAATTGGGATGAGGGTAAAAATTGTGTATGCCATTTGCCACTTTTTGGAGGAAGACTCCAGATAAACTAATCTGTAAAGCGAAAGACTCAGTTCCAGGCAGTTTATCAAGCCACGGACTGGTTTATTGGTTTACCATGCTCAACTACAACAGTAGTTTCTATCATTATCTTATTTTCAAATATTTCTTTTAATTAGTGTTTTTGATTAGGCTGGCATATCCTAATTTTATTATGCTGTCTGTTATAGACTTTCCCTGGAGATTTTGATTAATTTCATCAGTCATCCAGGGAAAGGCAAGCATTTTTATCATGGACTGTATGGGTGCTATCATCTAGAATTAATGAATAAGTTATTGCATACAAACCGGTAGTATATTAATAGCAGTGGCAAATAAATTTGTATCTCTGCTTACACTCGTACATAGACATATACTTGGCAATCTGTATATATTATGGAGTAAAGCAAATCTGAGTTTTTAAAACAAATTCTCCATGTGTAAACAAACTCCCCACCTTGAGCAAACTTCAAGCAATCTCTGAACAGATTTTTCTATTTCTGAAATAAATCATTATTTCAAATGAGTGTGGACCTGGCAGTTAGATTATCCAAATGATTCGATATTTGGGACACTATTTGGAAACAACTCAAACAAACTATTTTACAAATTTGAGAAGTAAATACTTTCTTTCTTTCTTTCTTTCTTTTTTTTCTTTCTATATTTTTTCTTTCTTTCTCTTTTTTTCTTTCTAATTTGAAGGGCTAGAAGGGAAAGGGAGGGGGGGGTGCTCTTTGGCCCATAGGAAATCAGTGACCCAGAGACATCTGCAAACGATTAGGACACAGACTTCAGGTAGCTCATAGGAACACGTGCTGTCCATATTACACTCTGCAAGTATATTTCCACAACTTTACTTCTGCAAATAAACAGTCTGGCTTGTCCTGCATTAGCAAGAAACTACACAAACAGGTAGAGAGAATGGCTGTTCTATTCTCTCTTCCAGTTCTGATGGATTTCTCGCAAGCCATCGCTTGGCCATGTAATTTGAACGGTTCCCTGGCAGTAATTTAACACGAGGCTGGTTTCTAAACAGAATATGGCTAGCTTTAACTTACTGTCATTTATTTATCTCTGCTATGAAACATCATATATAATTTTCACAGGATGTTAGCTTTGACGTACATGTCATAATTTAACAGCTGCTTGGAAAAGTATAAGAAAAATCAACACTGGGAGCAATAATAATAGTATAATGTAAAATAGACTGGTTTACAACATTGCTAACATAATTTAATTTTGAAACCGCTGGTAATTGCTTGTGTTGAGAGATTGTAGTAATTTCTTGTACAGAGAGGAATCAGTGTACTTAAGACTTAAATCACTTATCTGCAATTTAAGTACCCCTGAATTCCATAAGATTCAGTAGATATACATAAAATTTGTCCTTACCTATTCATGCATGAATATTGAAAAAGTCTATATGATAGACTCCAATAGAATTCTGAAAATAAACACAGTAAGGCTAAATAAAAAATATACTATGACTGAACTAGTAAAAGAAAAAAGGAAAGTCAGGGAAGATAAATTATAGTTTCAGCTTTTCTAATATGCACTTACTATGTGAGACTATTAATAGTTTATGCGATAATCAGCCATACCGGGGAAAGTGATTAAATACTTTGAAAGTCAGGGATCTCCCCCTTCAAACCAATAAAACTTTTATGAACATCATGTTGAAATCAACAAGGTTGAAGACTGTTGTAACAACCTCCCACCCACCCCCCTCCACTCCCCAGCAAGATTTAAACCTGATTAAGCTCTTTCGGGTGGAAAGGAACCAACGAGATTTAAACAGTAAAACTGAGTACCTTTCAACTCAGCAACTGCAATGAAATTATTCAGTCATGTAGGTGCAGATGTATTGATTGCGTATAAATAAATTCTCCCTTTTGAATCAAACAATCAAAATTCCTTAGTGTTTTTTTTTTTATTGTGAAAAAAATGCACTGGAATCAATAGAGCTTTGGGAAAAGGATGTTTTCCTGTTTGCTGTAAAGCCCAATGCTGAGGACTCCGCCAGAACTTAAGCTATTCAGATAATTTTGTGTCTAAAGGTCCTTGCTGGCTAAGGAAGTTCCTGCCCAGGTACACTCTGTGTGCACATGTGAACACACTCACTGGACCTCCAGTACACATAAAACCAGGCAGAGCTTTATCAGATTGTTCCCAACACAAATGGCAATAGGAAATATAATCCAGTTTCAGATGAATGCTTTGATAATCCATTGATTTTATCTAAATGAAAGGAAAATAAAAGTGTTCAACGTGATTTTGATTATCCTTCCTGAATGTTACACAGTCATCTTTGTTTAATAAAGGGAATCTGCTATTTTCATTGCCAGGCTGTTTTGAATGTGATGAATTCACACATTCTTATCAGAATAATTTCAATATGCCTAAATGGAAAGTAAAATGGATTAGAAATAAGCCAATATTTTCCAGATGCTTTGCTGTTCAACTGCTGTTAGGCTAAGCCAACATTCCCAGTGCAAAGATAATGAAGGCTATAGTTCAAAGCACCTGCCTGCTTCTGCTCACAAACCTATCTTTTACATTTTGTTTCCAAAACGTCCATGGGGAGGGAAGGAAGGAAGGAAGGAAGGAAGGAAGGAAGGAAGGAAGGAAGGAAGGAAGGAAGGAAGGAAGGAAGGAAGGAAGGAAGGAAGGAAGGAAGGAAGGAAGACTTAGGCAAGTGATTGTATGCATGTATTTTTTAAGCAAAAAGAAAATTCCAATGTGATGAATATTAAGAAAAATATTGTACTTCTCCCTTTCTACAATGTGCTTCGGATTCACTACTCATTCAGGGCAGAAAGCATGGTCAAGATGATTGCTTGGCATCATAGTTTACATCTTAGAACACTGGCCAAAATGCCCTAAATGGGAATTGTGGGAAATAATGAGATCAACAAAGATGGGAAAATATTTAAACAAACATTTTAAGCATATTTTAACCAGGGGGAAAATTAAAGAGTTTGTGTAGGGTGGGGGATTGACAGAATTTTGCATACCTATGTACTTGAACTTTTTTAAACATTCATTGAGGCACTGTTTGGCACCCTAAATTTTCATTGAAGAATTTTAACTGCATGCTAGCTTGAAGGCAACTTTTCATTCTAAAAAAAATAAATTGTAGCAAACCGGATTAGAATGAATTTATTAGTTGGAAGGGATATTTAAAGTCA